GAGCATGGGGCGCGGGCTGAGGAGCAGGCATGCGTGTGGGGCCGCGCGGCATGTGGGCAGCCCGAGCAGGCCGAGATTTGATGGGTGGACCCACACTAGTACCTCGGCAATGGCCGAGGATGCATTTCTATTGAGGGTTTCAATAGATAATTGAATATCTATTAGAAAGCCTTCACTTTACTAGTATTCCCAAATAGGCAAGTCTACTCACCATTCCTATTAGCAAAGTTGATTCAGACCTTACAACAACTGCTGTAAGTTCAGCTGAGTTTTCGTGGTCTCACATATGGCGCGATGCTGGAGTGGCCGATACGCGCACCCACGACTCCCTGCTCTTTCTTTCCCGGGAGACTGTCGACAGGCAGAAGGACCAGGTGCAGCCGCGGAAAGGCAGGAAGACCAAAGCTTTGGCACACACTTCTGCCAACCCTGCCCCCGCACTGCCGCCTGCGCCGCCCACTCCACAGGACGAGGAAATGCAGGCTGATGGACCGGACACCGATACAGACAATGAAGAGCAGTTGGACGAGGCGGGGTTTGTGCATTCATCTAAGCGCGACCCATGCGGCGAGACGTGGAAGGCGGCGAATGGGAAGGAGATGTCGCCCGTCACGAAACGAGTGCTGGAGCAGTCGGGGATATTCACGGTCGTCTGTAGGCATGGCATCGTCGAGAAGATCATTGAGATGGTACAATCAGGCAAACTGTGCGCACCTTATGGCTTGTCTTGAGGTCTCTACTAATCAATGCTCCAGTGCAAAGTATCCCCTCGCAGCGGCACACTGGCTACTGGACACCTATGGCGACAACCAGACACTCGGGTACGACATAGGTTGCGTCTTCGTGGGCACGCTTAGGCGCTTCTCATTCGGCGACGAGGCCACCCGGTGCAACCTTCAAGTTATCGTCGACGCCTTCCATTGCTGAGCACATGAGCGTGAATGCCAATGTATGTTCCACCCCCTGTACCATCCAAAGCTTGGGCTCGAAGACTTCTCAACCAATGAGCGTCTGTACTTGGTGCTCAACGCCTGTGCGCGCCTCACTCGCCACATGTCGAACTATCACTGGAAGCAGACACTGGATCTGCAGATGCGACAGATAAACGAGGAACGCTATGCATCTTCTGGTGAGTTCTTGCTGCCGACTTATACTGCCTCATCTAACCCTCTCCAAAGCTACATTCATCTACAACAACATCCGCCAGGCGCTCAAGATTCTCGCCAAGTACCCGCCTGAAGTTTGGGTTTTTATGGAGGCCAATGACATCACCGAGGCTGCTTTCCCTATCTGGCTACGTGCCGAGCTCAAGTTTCTCGTTACCGCTCATGCCAACAAGGAACCGCAGGAGCAGGCAAATCGTGTTAGCTATGCAGAAGCGTTGCATCGGTATTGGGCTCAGCAGTACGCCACACATTTGTCTGTACTGGATATACTGACTGACCTATTCATACAGAGACAAAGTCAGCGAAACATTTGCAAAAAGCCAAGCCAAGCCGCGCAATCACGACGTACGCAAAGCCAAGAAGGCATTGCCCGCCCTGCAGAAGCATCTCAATGCGCTTCACGAACCAGTGCTGCAGTGGGAGATGCTGCTGGACATTCTGCCCAACGATCGTTGGACCACGACGAGCGACGCCTACGTGGCGATGGCGACGTATATGACGCGCAAGTCTTTCATTTGTGCCGCGGAAACCCTACACGGTGCGGTCATCTCTCGCCTCATGGAGATATCGAAGCTGAACACCTCCGGACTTGGTGCGCACTCATGGCGCTTTGTGTGCTACTCTTACAACTGACTGCTCTTAGGACACAAGCTACGTAACCACATATCGCAAGCCCTTGGGTGTCGCTCTCGTACTCTCCGCAACAACGTTGATGCCTACAACAAGTTAGTGCTCAAGTACGGCGAGAAGGCCATCAAGTACGAAGATATCATCAAGATGACCAACACCGCGGCATTTGACCTCGTAGTCGCCGGGTCGCAGGACATTCGGAAGGAGGCGTGGGCACGCGCAGGGTCACATGAGGCTGCGGATAAGTGGTGGAAGGTACAGGGTGCGAAACACGAGCTGGAACGGTGCTACGTTGAGGTACACCGCCTGCAGGCTTGGGTTGATCACGAAGACCGCGCCATGCTCGATGCCGTTCGAGCCAGCTCCGAGACCAATCCTGCTTTCGCACATCATCTTAATGGTGTTTGTATCAAACACCGCGCGATCAACGACTCCATCCGCCTGCGCCTCTAGAAGATCTACACCCTGCCAGGCCATCGCGGCCCTCAACACCCTTCCAACGCAACACCTGCAATTAAACGGTGCATCACGCAACCATTTACAGACAACCAGGAGGACTCGCGTGCAGGGACAATCCGTCCATACGCTCTACGGGCTGCATCCCCCAGCGCCGGCAGCAGTGATGCCGACGAGGACGAGGACGAGGGCTCGGGCAGTGATGCCGATGACGAGGATCAGTTTGAGGGCATTGCACCTCTAGGGGAGTGGCTCTCGAATCAATGTGATATCGTACGAGAGCCACTTCCATAAGATTGACTGTATCTCTCATGTATAAGTACGCGTACGCTCGATGAGCTGGCAGGTTGAGTAATACACGTGACCGTGTCTCCGAAAGCGCGAACTCTGACGGAATACTGTATGGTACGTATACTCTCTGGCAGGGACAGAAGGACTCAAGCTCGTACCCTAAACTATGCCTGGTGCTACTCGTACATAGCGTATGCACGGCCAGGCAGGCCAGTAAATACAGTACGCCAGCCTTATCGGGAGCAGTCGGGCTTTGGCGCCCGCGATGCCCGAACGACCTTTCCTATGGAAAGGGTCCAGAGCGGCCCGCAGCTTCGTGTACCTGAAGTCAGCGCGCTGACATCAGGCCACAGCTCGCCAGCTCACAAGTCGAGCGCCGTACTGTACTCAACTCTCCCCTTGCTATAGTAGCTGCAGAATCAAATAGTACTATTTTTTGCGATCTCCTAGGTACTATACATGTAGGGAAGCAACCGGGGGAAGCGGGAGATAGAGGGAAACGACCGTGCTTGTCGTGGGGACGGCGGGGAGCAGCGCGGGCAACGGCGGGTGCGAGGGTACCCACCCTTATGCGCCCCTGCACGCTGCCTTTATCCCGATAAGGAAGGGGCTGAGCCCAGGCCCGCCTTGTGCTCCTCGAGCACCTTATCGCGCACGGATCGCGCTCGGGCCGTAACCCTAGAGTGTTCGCAGTTTTGTAGGTTTCGCGGTTGGGCATCTACTGACGGCCACTCAGCGGAACAAAAATTGGGACCACTTGATCGGCATCAGTAGATGGGTGATTACCTAGGTGGCTAGAGCCCTCGCAAGGTGAGTGCTGGCACCTGGGACCAGGGCAGCATCCCTGGCCTACAGGTTCCAGCAGATGGATTGCTACCAGAATTTAGTCATACCTGCTCTTTGGTACGTAATATTTGATTCTAATTTTATTTGGGCTGCACGCATACTGGCACTCGAGCGAAGCGCCAATTACTCGGTGTATTTTCGTGTTCGGGCTCTCCCTTCACTGCTCTCCTACTGCTTACTCTACTGGGCTATCAAACGGTGTGTATGATCTTTGGGGTATGTCCTATATGGCTATATACTGTGCAGCCCGGGGCTCCACGCCGTTCCTGAGCGCCACTCTATTTACCCCCACCCCCTCCTCCTCCCTCCACAAAATCCGGCTCCGGAACGGTTCACTTCTCTGGCCCCATACTCGCGTCCCGGGGGCTTTTAGTACCTGGAAACACGATGGAGAAGTCTGCTTAGCTCTCCGGGCTACCGTTCTTCAGTACCAGCTTCTTCTCCTCCCTGTCATCTGGGCTCCTTTTTAGCCTGCTCTGCTACTGTATTTCCTCCATCAGGTGCCAAACCAGCTGCATTACCCACTGGGGTGCGTGTTGTATACCTTCATACACCATTTGAGCTACCAAGTCTACCAATATAACCTCTGGTGCTAGTAGGATGAGCCAAATATATTTTATTTTTGATTATGAGGTGATTTATTTACATTTTATTTACAGTATATACTATACATCAATTGAATCGTCCCAATGAGGCGAGAAGAATGGTGTAATTTATGTGGTGTGATACACCCTTTTCCGTTCTGAGGACGTATCCGCGCCACAGCTCACGACGCGCACGTCCGACCACATCGGCCTTATTGGTCTTCCCCATGCTCACTTTCACCCTCATCTTTACTTCCGTACCACTCTCCTCTCCTGTACTCGTCACTCTATTCTACGATTGGCTATCTACAAGACATCCCTCACTCTGGGCCCTTCTGGCCCTTACTTCTCCTATTTCGTGACTCACTTCTTACATTTCGTACATATATGACGAGCCTCGCGATGTACGTACACAGATTCGGACGTTACCTGGCCTCTGGGCCCCCCGAATATCATTCCCAGCGCTTCCCGCTCCTTTTCCTGAGGTTCGTGTGCAGGTCGCTCGGACTCTCGCACACATCGATATCCTCTACGTCGTATACATGACGTCGAGCCTGTCAGGTGGGGGGTGGGGGAGGTGGGGAGGGACAGGAGTAGGAGTGGGAGGAAGTGAACCTGAGGTGAGGCTCGGGCAAGCCTCAACTCGCGAGTGCTTGAATCTCAGCTCAGGTTCACTTCCTCCCACTCCTACCCCTGTCTCTCCCCACCTCTCCCACCCCCCACCACATAAACTACACCATTCTTCTCGCCTCATTGAGACAATTCTATTGATGGATAGTATGTACTGTAAATAAAATGTAAATAAATCACCTCATAATCAAAAATAAAATGTATTTGGTCCATCCTACCAGTACCAAAGGTTGCATGGGTGGGCTAGATGGCGTAAGATGTCAGTCATAATGCCGGATACGTCTTGCAGTACTTGGATTGGCAATATCTAGCCAAGGGACTGCAGGATGCAGCTATATCAAAGAAGAATAGGCAGAATCAAGTGAGAAGAGTCCTGTACTACAATTACAGTAGCTAAAGCTATGTGGTATTTACAGTAGCTAGAAAATGTAAGTAAGTATATTACTCCAGCTATGCACAGCTGTAGCTTCAGCGGTCAGGTCCTGGTATTTTGACCAAGGTAAGAGAAATAGAAAACAAAGAAGTGTGGCGCTTACCGTGGGAACGTATGGTACGGCTAGTGCAAGTACCAAACTCTAGTGTGTACACCTATAGCTACTCCCAGTTTGACTATCAGGGAAATCCATCCAGCGGTCATAGAGTACTAGTCACCTGTTCCTCCTCCTTGAACTCTATGAATAATTAGACGATTGCAACGCAGGCTTCTCACTGATAATAATGGTGGGGACAGATCCAAACAGGTAGATTTTTATAACATTGTCTCAATATGCTGATTAGTATTACCTGTACTAGATCTAGTAGTACTACTTATGAGCTGACAATCAAAAAGTAGAAGTAAATTGTAGA